ACTGGTAGACGACTTCTCCGATGCCTTTCACCAGCTTGACCAAGATCCCGCGAGCGGACAGCAGCCGAAGGTGGCAGAGGAGGAAATTATCACCACTTATCTCATCGCCTCCCTGGGCTGCGTCTCCTCCCTTTTCCTSTTGTCCATCCTCGTCTTGACGGCGAACACGCTCTGCAAACCTCGAGTCCGGGCAGAGCTTTCTCCTCCCTCTCCCAGCTGCTACGCGGACGGAGACTTCGCCAGCGACGGCGTGGGCGGCACAGGCACTCTGTCTCCGCCTTTCCGCTACGAGATGTTCCTGACCAGCGGCTCGGGGAGGAGCGAATTCCAGTTCCTGAGGCCCGTCCTGCCCCGCCAGCATAGCAACGCTGAGGCGGGGCTGGATAAGGACGAAGAACCCCTATACGACTCGCAGCCCGCCTGCGACGGGGAAGCGCATGCGGAGAGCACAGCCACTCCTCCCCTTTAGCCGCCAGACTGCCCAGTCGGCCTGAGCGTCCATGCCTGAGCAGTGCTGGGATGCACCTCCCTTCCCCCTCCTCAGCCTGAGATTCCCCAGTAGCTGTAGTGCCTTCCCTACTATTATAGGTGTGTTGTCATTGCGGAGGTTCCAGGCCGGTTYCTACTGCCGGGATGGCRGCTCAGCTTCTCCGCGTTCAGCCTMCGCCTCACGCTGCCCAGGAAAATGTGTTGGGCCACTCTTACGGCCGAACCTCTCGAAAAGCGAGTACTCTCCTATCGCTAGGCGAGAGCGCATTCCAGAGCGCGGGTTCTGGCCAGCGAGGGGCGGGAAACGACACGGACAAGCTGCAGGCGATGCTCCGACGCCGGGACTCCCCGCAGGGCTATCGCCGAGCGTCTCCAGCCCTTCTCTCCCCGGATGGTGTGAACGCTTCCTGCTGCAGGTTCCCCAGCGGGTGCGCGGCTCCGTGGAGCGGGGCGAGCGGCAGCGCGGGCTGCGAGCGGCGGCGGGCGCGGTGCCACCGCTCACCGCTGGGTGGTGCTGCAGGCCAAGGCAGCGCCGAGCGGCTGCGGCAGCGGAGGCGGCCGAGCCCGCAATAGAACGGCACAGCCCCGGAATAGCTCAGCACAGCACAGCTCAGCACAGCACAGCACAGCACAGCACAGCTCAGCACAGCACAGCACAGCACAGCTCAGCAGAGCAGCCGGAGGAGGTATCAGAAGCTGCGGCGGAGAGTGGTGTGCCGTGTCAGCCGCTACCGGGACACCCTGGCTGCTTTAGGGGCCGCCGGCCGGAATCTAAAACAGCGAGAGAAGGTGCCGGCACCCATTTCGCAGCTTTCTGCCGGGAGCCGCCTGGGAGATCCGAGAGACGGAGGCTGCCCGCCGCC